AATAATCTTTGTCAATTTTATTTTTCAGTCTTTATGATGGTCGATACTTGATCTATCTCTTACTGTTACATCCCCAGGCAACCCCAGGCTCTACTGCTAGTATATATATATATATATATATATATATATATATATATATATATATATATATATATATTGTTACGTTAGCCCAATATTTGTACCCTCACCTCAGATTTTATAAGTATATTTTAAGTACATTGTGTATGTGCGATGAGACATGGGAATATTAATAACTACTTTATTTCTTGAAAAAGCATATTGTGGGATATATTTGTTTTTTTTCATCCCCAGTTGAATCAGGGCCAGTTCTCGGAAGAGAACCCCTCATTTCCTGTCTGGTCGTTGATCGTAGGCCAGACGAACGCTCTTTGACAAATAAGTGCAAATGACGCCAACAGTATTCAATGAATGACACCTACGCATTTTTTGTCGGCTGGCACGTGACGGTTTTGTTTCTCGTGTTTCGGGAGTAACATTATTTACTTAGCTGCTTGCCCCCGGACGAGGTAGACGTCACCAGAATCAGTTTTAGCTGTTTGCTGCCCGAAGAAGTAGATATCACCAAAACCAAATTTCGCTGTTTGCTGCCCGAAGAAGTAGATGTCACCAAAACCAGATTTCGCTGTTTGCTGCCCGATGAATTAAGAACATCATCACCCTAGTCGGCTATGCTTTTATGATTCACATGTGTATACTAGAACATTGATAATCCCTCCATTTTATGTTCAGAAAAAAGAAACAAAAACAAAGAGTGTATGAACATCTTTTTTCGTTACACTGTATTATTGATGAAAATCCTGATCGACGTCGATCTCCATCTCCTGTAAGTATTGCATGTTTTTATATATCTTATTGTCTGCTTGCTCTATATTCCTATGATATTCGTCGCAGTAATATTTGTCTGATTGATTACTCATCTCCCCATCCCTTGTGCTATTAAAGTTTCGTTTTTTTCTTATCTTACTTTTGCACCGTGTATATTTGTAAATAAACTATTTGTACAATAAATTCTCGTATTGTCTCCTGTCGTTTTGTGTCCACGCATTGTATATTTCTTGCTGTGTTTACTGGTGTCTGGATTCGGAGAATTCCCCTCCCACTGTTCTTTTTCTTTATTTTTATATTGAACCCTGGGATCACTTATTTATTTGTTTTTTTTATTTTCTCGTTGCGTCCCGGCTATCGTAGTCCTAACGAAACCCCGGGCGTAACAATATATATTATAACATGATAACAGCAAAAAATTGCAATATAGGTAAAAATGGTAAAAATGGTTGCTGAAGACATTAGGTTTATAATACCCAGAAATTCATACACAGATGTCATCAAGGACACATGGCACAGTGGAAAGGCGTTGGTTAGATCGAGTGTGAGTTCAATACCCGGTTAAGGCAGAGGGAAATTAACAGGAAATAACTGATAACTGAGATCCATTAATCATGTCAACCCTAGTGAGCACAATAAAGGGTTAATTTAGACATTCCAACCACCTGAACAAGGCCCGAACGTATACGGCCGAAACGTTGTAATGAATATGGCGACAAAGATGAGGACAATAGTCCGAATAATGTATATAATGTACATAATATCTCATCTCAGAAATATAGACAGATACTGAAGGATCGGTACGGAATCTCTCGCTCTCTCTCTCTCTCTCTCTCTCTCTCTCTCTATTATATATATATATATATATATATATATATATATATATATATATATAAGTTTGGTTGATTAATTGACATTATTTAGCGGATATCAGCACCTCTATGATTCATTCAATGCTGAAATGTAAATATTTGAACACAATTACATAGCTTCAACTAAATATATTTTGAACGCAATTGTTTGCGTTCAACTCGAGTTAAAATGTATTGATGGTCATTTTAATATACATATTATTGTTAATTGTACTATAAATATGTATTGTTGATTGGTTGACTTTGATTAGCGATATATCAAGCTCTATGGGTTATTTAATGACGACATCTAAATATTTTAACCACAATTTTATGGCTTTAACTAAATATATTTTGGACGCAGTTGTATGCCTTCAACTACAGGCAAAATATACTTTTGAAATATTTCAAAAAGATTCTTGAAAGTATATAAATAATCAATGTGTTTTTCACCGCAAAATAGACGCTAAAATTTCCTATATTAATTTTTGTGTAGTGGTCCAGGTGTTTGTACGCGTTGTGCATTAATACGTGTCGTCTCCTGCAATGGGGCCCACTACAAATATAGCAGGCTCGGAATGAGTCCTCCCTCAAGAAATGTAAAAGAAAATAACAAAAACCGATATATATATATATATATATATATATATATATATATATAGAGAGAGAGAGAGAGAGAGAGAGAGAGAGATTTTGACGATAAATCGTTGTTAGTGCTAGATGCTTAAATTACGATACACTCATTATTGCTGGAAAAAGCTCAGGAAAAACGATGTCCTGTTTACTTTTTTTTTAATGACATCAAAAAAGTTTGCAAACATTAAAATCACTATTTAATAGTTTTTTTTTTTTTAAATTTGTAAAAAATATTGTTAATGATTTTTAATACATAACCAGTTCACTGTTCACTGCCTTTAACGCTAAACCTAACCCCTAACCCTAACTCTAACATATTTCATACTTCCAACGATTGCCATAGTAGAAAATGAATAGTAGATATCATACTATAGAAGAAAATGGAGGTTAGATGTCAGTCCATATTGGCACCATTTTGTTTTTATTAAGTTTCGGGTATTTTTTCATCATGTATGCTCATTTGTTAACGAATATTTAGTTAGAGATAGAATCTCTATCTATCTTAGAGGTAGAATCTCTGACTGATGTCAAATCGGTCGAGTTTCGATCGGCTTGGAGAAATCGGTCGTCCAGACATACTGATGAGCTGTGATACAGTGAAACAGGCTTGTATGTGGATGACTACTTATGCTCTCGTTAGCCGATTGAGATAAAAAAGGTAATTAAAAAAAACAGTGGTTGCTGCTGCTATTAATGCATCACTCTTCAATTAAGAATTAAGCGCTCTTGGCTACTGGTGTTCGTTTACATCTCGTATAGAATATGTTAAAAATGACC